GGAGGGACAGCACAAGAGGGGAAGACCCTCTATGAGGTGGATTGATTCAGTGACTTGGGTAATCGGGATGAGAGTGTCAGAGGCAGTGCGATTGGCACAGGACAGAGCAGAGTTTAAGCTGTTGTACATAGGGTCGCTATGAGTCGCAAGAGACTCGATGGCACAGAACAACAACAGCATGTGTATACCATGGAATTGGATCCGACTGGTACAGGAGAAGAGTGCCCTTCCTTCTCCTGTGGAGCATCTGGTAGAGTCAAACCTAAGGCCTTTGGGATTGCAGCACAGCTTCTTGTCTTTGATTTCTTGACTGTTGGTGCCAAGGGTGCTGATTGTGGATCCAAGTAAAATGAAGTTGTTGACAATTTCAATGTCTTCTCCATCTATCATGTTGCTTATTGGCCCGATGGTGTTTCATAGCTCTTGGTGGCCATGTTTTGTTATGTGTCTCTATTTTCCTCTTTGTGTTTCAGTTCAGGTAATTTCTGTTGACCTATCTTATAGTTCATGGATTCTTTCTTTGGTTCTGACAAGTCTGCTAAAGAGTCTGCCATAGTCATTCAGTTACTGTATTTTTCAATGTGAGCATTTCTGTTGGATTCTTTCTTATAGGTCTCAATCTCTGATGTGCTTTCTAGCTTTAATCTTTGTTCCTCTTTATCAACCATATAGGGAAGGCTTTAATTTGGTTAGTTTTTTCCTTATGTCTCTTTTGCATATCTTAGGTTTGGAGAATTTATTTGACCCAGCAGCCACCAAAATCTGCTCCAGAATAAAAAGACATAAGAAGTGCATGCACTCAAGACAGCTTGGTGTGGAGACAGAAAGTAAGAAGTTACCAACCTGTCTTGTGAGGACTGGAGACTTGCTGTGTGTATCCTCATATCTGATTGACTTGCTCAAGGTCAGTGGGCATCTAAACATTGTTTTCTTATATATTTCTTCAAACCAAAATAACCATTATTTAATTTTTTTGTTAAGTGGACTGACATACAATAGCTCTTTCAACCTAAATAGTGTGGGTTATTTTTAAGGTATCTTTTGTTTTTGAAAGGGTCATGGGACCTGGATTGTGGCATCTTGGTATTGTTAACTTTATAGAACCTGACAAAGTTTTCTCAGAAAACTTCCTGAATCCTTCATAGTTTCTATTTGGCCATAGTCATACATTTATTTGTTTGGTTTTTTCCCCCCAACCTTTCATAAGTCTGTTATACGAGAATTAGTATTTACATGCAGTGAATATTATAGTGGTATCCTTACCTCCAGGAATTTGAGACTCCTCCTTAGCTAATATAAAAATGTGGTTAGTATTATAATGTCAGGACTGTCATTGTTTCTTAAAACCCAGGAAAAATGCTACATATAATGTTGTTGTTGTTAAGTGTGCATCCTATGAACAAAAGCCTTTTTTTGGAAGTGGATGCCACTCCTGCTTTCAAGCCTGTTTTATTCAGGAGATCCATAAAAAGCAGGTCTGAGGACCCAAAAGCCTTTTCAAATCCAGTCTGCTCACACCCTATTGTGAGGAAAAGCCACACCCTAGTCTCAACCCCAAACCAGAACACACACCTTAGCAGAATCCAGCCTTTCCTCTCATCTTCCCAACCTGGAAATATAATAGAGATGTAAAATGTTAAGGGGCACAAAAGGTACAGTGATTCACTTAGGCAAGGGAAGATTAGGTAGTGATTTGTGGAAGAGGTAGCATTTTTCCTGGGTTTTAAGAAACAGTGACAGTCTTAACAGGCAGAGAGGTAGGTGTCCATTCTAGCAGAATTAAACAGCTTCCCCAACAGCACTGATATGTGATGTATTTGGTAAACAGTTTATATTCTCCCTTTTGGAAAGCCTACTTCTTTTTGTTCCTCCTGTACTTTTATTACAGGACATATTTTTTTTTGTTATCTTTTCCTTTTTTTGGTTATTTTTATCTTTTTTTTGGTCCTTTATGATTCTTTAGGTCATGTGTTATACTAGCTCAAGTCCCAGAGATTCTTCCCCTGTATAGCCCTCAAGTAAAAGCACAGTGCAATATTAACACCTCCACATAGCCTGTATGAGTAGAAATGTACAGTAATAAAGTGAATCCTCTTTTTGCATGAATATGAGCCATGCCCAGGGGGCAAATGAAGCCATAGCAGAACAGACTAAATCCTCCAGAGCATATATTACCTCCATCATATTTCCATACTCTTAAAACCTACTTTTTCCCTTTTTGTTACAAAACAGAGTGCTGTTCAAAAATCCCAGTGCATTCTAAAAATAGTTTGTCATTATAAAAAAATACAATTTTTCCCCCCTATTTATTCTCAATAGCTAGTGGGTTCTTTAGAGAAATATTTGGAAGAGGGGATGGGGAGAGAAGGTCCATCTCCCTTACGTTAGGGATTATCAGGTTTGATACTGGTTCCTGTCTTGCAGTATGCCTGCAATGGTTAGCATCCTCAAGGGGAGGACACAGGCCACCCTGATGCCTTTTTCTGAAAAACAGCTGCAGGGAGATTCAGGCAAAAGTAAGAGAAGAATTCTTGATAGTTTATACTTTTGGGAAGCCCTCTACTCAACTGATTATTTGCTTTAACTTAGCTGTTTATGATCTTATTCTGATTTTCTATTTTTTTTCCTGACCCTAAGACAGAAGAAACTCCATTTGAGAAAGTATACATAAGATGCTAACTTTGAATGATGCATAGAACTGTTAAGATGGTGAGCACTCAGAATTACGTTAGCAAATCTAACCTGGGTGTTTTCTCTGGCGTAGGAGGCGGAAGCACCTGTATCCAGAAATGGCCTCAGAAAGTAAAGAAGAAAATGGTCTTTCACCCACAGACCCATCCGAAGAAAATGACCAAGACAGTCCTCAGTCTAGGATCCATCTAGAGCCTCAAAAGGAATCAAGTACTGACTCCAAGCATCTTAGGACCAATGATCAGTATAGTCCTCATTTTAGACTTCATATAGAGCCTCAAGAGAAATCAAAGATTGACTTCAAGCAGGTTGTCATCAAAAAGCTACAGAAGACTTGCCAATGCAGCGCAACCAAAGCGAAATCAGTTATTTTTGGTTTCCTTCCTGTTTTGCAGTGGCTTCCAAAATATGATCTGAAGAAAAATATTTTGGGAGATGTGATGTCTGGCCTGATTGTGGGCATCTTACTGGTGCCCCAGTCTATTGCTTACTCCCTCTTGGCTGGCCAAGAACCTATCTATGGTCTATACACATCATTTTTTGCCAGTATCATTTATTTCCTGTTAGGTACCTCCCGTCACATTTCTGTGGGCATTTTTGGAATATTGTGCCTTATGATTGGTGAAGTAGTTGACCGAGAACTATACAAAGCCGGCTATGACACGGCCCATATTCCCTCTTTAGGTGCAGTGTCAAATAACAGCATGTCATTAAATGACACATTACATTTGACATGCGACAGAAGTTGCTATGCAATTATAGTTGGCAGCACTGTAACCTTTGTGGCTGGAGTTTATCAGGTAAGAAAATGGAATACATTTCTTTTAATTTATTATTAATTTCAATGAAAATTTACAGAGACTTTGGATTTCTATTCATTCATTGTTGCACTTTTCTCCCCTTTCAACCCTCCCCCCAGTACACTACCCTCGTGAAAAAGTAAAAGAAAAAGTCTTTCATTGTTTTACAATCCCTCCCCCCAGGTCCACTCCACCATGTAGCCTTCGCTCTAGACTCCTATCATGACAAAAATACCTAATCACAAATCCCTCTTAAACAGTTTTCTCCCTCATCTGCTTCAATGCCATATACATTATTGAACCCAGCTTTCTCAGTCTCCCCCAACCCGAGATCAGTCCTGTTTTACAACAGTGACACCATGAAGTATTTGTCCATTTGTGATTGAGATACTTCACTCAGCATAATGTCCTCCAGGGTCACCCATTTTGAATAACATTGCATAAGTTCCTCGTTTTTCAATGCAGCATAGCTTCTCTGTCCATTTGTTTGCTGATGGGCACTTAGGTTGTTTCCAACTCCTTGCTATTGTGAACAAAGCTGTGATAAACATGGAAGTGCATATATCTGCTTGGATGTCAGTTATGGTCTCTTTGGGGTATATTCCCAGTAGTGGAATTGCTGGGTCAAATGGTATTTTTATTTCCAACTTTTTGAGAAAGCGCCATACCGCCTTCCACAATGGTTACACCATTTTACACTCCCACCAACAGTGAATAAGGGTTCCAGTTTCTCCACAACCTCGCTAGCATTCGTTGCTTGCTGTTCTGTTAAATTTTGCTTTTCTTACTGAGGTGAGATGATATCTCATAGTTGTTTTGATTTGCATCTCTCTTAGAGCTAGGGATTTTGAACATTCCTTCATGTGCTTGTTGGTCATCTGAATGTCTTCTTTGGTGAAGACATTCCTGTGCCCATTTTTCTATTGGATTATTTACCTTTATCTTGTTGTGGTGCTCATGTCCTGTGCCCATTTTTCTATTGGATTATTTATCTTTTTTTATTTTATTAAATTTTATTAGTTTTAATGAACATTTACAGGGATTTTGGGTTTTCATTCCTTCATTACTGCACCATTCTCTCTACCCTCCTCCCCAGTTTGTTCTTCTTCCCCGCCATCCGAATGTCCAATTGCCACAGTGCTTGTCAAAGTCAGTTCTGATTAATCTCCTTTGTCGGTGTGTCCTTTGCCATTCCCTATCACTCCTCCCTGAGAGAGACTT